CACCTTGTTATCTCAGATTCTCCAGCATCTGCAGTTCCTACTATCTCTGTCTCAGGCCTGCTGCAAAACTCCAGCAGAGCTCAGCGCAAGCTGGAAGAACAGTACCTCATTTTCCGCTTGGGAACTCTGCAGGCTTCTGGACTCCATATTGAGTTCAACAATTATAGGGCCTGGTGCATCTTCCCCCATATCCTTACCCCAAACCCCCACACACCAGGCCTTGTTATTACATGGTCTGCTATTACATTCTACCTATTGTTAACCACTAATAGCCCCCATTAGTAGGCATTCATTCTCCCAGGCTGACAGTTATCCACTCCTTTGTCTGTCCAACTGTTCTTCTCTCCCATAAAAACTGAAAGAACTGTGGAGGCTGTAAATCAGAAACAAAAACCAAGTTGCTGGAAAAACCCAGCAGGTCTGGCAGCATCTGTGAAGGAAAAAGCAGAGTTAACATTTCGGGTCCGGTGACCCTTCCTCAGAACCGGACCCGAAACGTTAACTCTGTTTTTTCCTTCACAGATGCTGCCAGACCGGCTGTGCTTTTCCAGGCTTATAGCATCCGTAGTTTCCTGGCTTATAGCATCCACAGTTCTTTTGTTTACTCTGATTTCTCTCCACAGATGCTGCCAGACCTGCTGAGCTTTTCCAGCAATTCCTGTTTCTGTTTCTGATTTGCAGCATCCGCAGTTCTTTCAGGTTTTATTTATGTAGGAACTGAATTTTCATTCCACCAGATGCCAAGGTTGAATTCGAACCTTCACCCCTTGAGCATTATCCTGGGGCTCTATTTACTCACCTTATGGCATTATCAATGTCTCCACATGAATGAACTGTGTATGAAACTCTTAGCTTCATTACTTCCTTGGCTCTGCTTATCCTGGCAAGATTAGCAAGGACCTCAGCAGATCCCAACTGATGATAATACTGGACAAGTCAGGTCCCTAAAGGAAACTTGCCTTTATGGATCATATGTTTCATTTTTGCTGTTGGTTAGCATGGTGTTTAGTCATTATTCACGTGAGGCTGCAAATGTTCTTTAACCACAGGACATAAGCCAATTACACAAAAGAAAAAATAAATACACAAAGCTTTATAATTATAGATGTAAGATCATTAGGGATGTCTTAACATAAACAGTAAAACCAAGTTACAATTTGTCCCAAAACACTGACCTTTTACAGAAATTCAATGGGGGTGGCATGGTGGCTCAGTGGTTAGCACTGCTGCCTCACAGCACCAGGGACCAGGGTTCAATTCCAGCCTTGGGCAACTGTGTGTGTGGAGTTTGCACATTCTCCTCGTGTCTGCATGGGTTTCCTCCAGGTGCTTGGGTTTCCTCCCACAGTCCAAAGATGTGCAGGTTAGGTGGATTGGCCGTGTGAGATTGCCCATAGGGATGTGTAGATTAATCCATAACCTAGATTAGGTGGGTTTTAGTGGGATGAGTCTGCGTGAGATGCTCTGAGGTTCAGTGTGGACTTGTTGGGGCAAAGGGCCTGTTTCCACACTGCAGGGATTCTATGAAAAAAATTCCAAAGAAATGTCACTCCAGTCTCAACTCTTGTCAGTGTTTATTTTACTGTCTTGTCTCATTGTTTTTCCTTGTATTATGGATATGGTTTCACAATTTCTTTCCCAATCCATTAGTACGAACCTTCAGCAATTCTGATGGCCTAAACTTTCAGTTCTGACAACTTTAGGATTTCAACCCGTACTCTCCTGGCTTGGAAGCTTCACAGACTAGAAACCTCTTCTGCTAAGTTGAGTGGTGCACTTGAACTGACTTGATTCTCACGCCAAGGGAGTCTTTTCTCCCTCCTGAATTGAACCCATGATTATTCTGAGCTGAGATCTTGAACATGCTGCGCTGAATTAAAAAAAACTAAACTAATAGCTTTCTTATTCGCTACAAGCTCAGCAATATAAACATTCCATCTATTAACTTTGCAAGGACTCTCCCAGATACTTGGCATCAGCCACATGCTTTGTTGAAATTGATGCCCATAGATTGCTGTTCCATATGTTTAAAAAAGTTCCCTTCATTGAACTGACCCATATCCATCTTCCTTTATTTTAAATCCAAATTCCAGGATATAATTTATGTACCTTTCATCACACATTCGTTTGGCAAGTGCCTGATGCAGGACTACCTAAACATAACAGCTATTATTGCTGAGGACAAACTGTTCCATCACTTGCCTATGCACTCTCACTCCATCATCCTGGCCCAACTCATTACAATCCCGTACTTTGGCCTTGGCAAAGGGCATTGATGGGTTGCACTGCCATCTGGTACTATATGTACTCAAAAATCTGTACCTTTGAACCTAAGATGGCACCGTAAGTGGCGACTTGTAAACTTTCCACTGTACTCATTTAAGTACATGAGACAATAATGCTAATTCAATTCAATTCAATATGTGACCATGTCTGGTATGGAAGAATAGGGTGTGGTTGTGACACTCTGATGGTCCAAGAGTGTGGCACGCAATGGTAGAATGGTTGTAAGTTATGCAGTTTGTAAATTGGGAGTTTTAGGGAAGAGAGGGGTGGACTAATGGTGAGCGTAAAGAAGATGTGCTATAATGAAATGTGGGGTAACGGTTGCAAGAGAATTAGAAAGAGTAGCGTTGTGAGAAACCAGGCTGAAAGCACAGGTAGTTGCAGAGAATTAAAGACTAGTATTGTCACCCTGAGTACTCTGCTGAGATCACTGAACCTTCTCTGTCATTGCAGGCATGACCTGGGCCCTAAGCATTTGGCACTTATTTGCCTTGTCACTTAGTCCCATTGGTTAATGGGGTTCATGCCTGGAATGCTTCCCGTCCCCTGAATGCAAGAGGGGAGGCACGGTGGTTAGTAATGCTGCTTCACAGCACCAGGGACCTCGGGTCTGCGTGGAATTCTCCCTGTGTCTGCGTGGGTTCCCTCCAGGCGCTCTGGTTTCCCCCCACTGTCCAAAGTGGTGCAGGTTAGGTGGATTGGCCATGCTAAATTGCCCAAGTATCCAGGGATCTATAGCCTAGGTGGATTGGCTATGGTCAGTGCTGGTTTACAGGGATGGGGCAGGTCTTGATGGGACACTCTTCGGAGGGTCAGTGCAGACTCGTCGGGCACAGTGGCCTCTATCTGCACTGCAGTGAACCTATGTTCACTTCTTCCATCCAAAGGCAGATCAGAAAAGCTTGGAGCTCAATAGGGTTTGCTTCTACAGGCAGATAGCCCCTTGCCTTCAAGAGATATTAGCTGCCTTTGGGTGCCAGATGAGATCCCGAAACCCATCCCTCTGTAAACAGTTGTGTATTGAATGGTTACAACAGGCAACGTGAATATTAACTGCTGCCCAAGAAAGAGCTAACACTTTCCAGTCTGATCAGATTTCTAGGCGTTCACCTTGCAGGATGCTATACTGCTTACAAGAAACATGGAAAGTCCGAACCAAGCCGTTGAAAATTTTCTAACACTGCAACCATTTTCTGGGAAGCTGGCACTCACCAAGTCAGCCAGTCCTCCCCACATCTGGTGGCATGGGCGAGGGTATTTGATGTGGGCGGGTATTTGATGTGGGCATCTGTGGGTATCAGGAGCTTCTCAAAGACCTCACCTGTTCAATAAGACCTCCACGCCACTGTCTGAAAGTGAGATGTTTCTTCGCCGGTGACATTGTACCTGCCTCTCTGTCAATGCAGAGTCCTCAGGCCACCGGTCAAAGGCTTACCTGCCCTTGAAGAAATGGCCAAGGCCGCCCAGCCTCTCCCATGGTGAGCTGCTTGTGAGCCGCGGTATCAACACTGGCATCGCCCGCTCTGAGGTCCAATTATTAGAATTGGTCATATATCCCACCACCTGGCATTCAGCAACCACAGTGAACATCCTGCTCATCACCTGCCCAAGAATTAGCACCATGACATTCATCACTCAGGGGTGCTTTTAGTCTCTTTTGGCCTTGCCAGCAACGTCTGGCACATGACTGGCACCAACCTGCCTTTATCTAGCACCTTTAGCAAATTAAAGTATCTCAAGGTGCTTCAAAGCAGCTTTCCTCAAACTGAACTTAACACCCAGTCACACAGGAGGTCAAAACTTTGATGAATGTGGTAGGATTTTAAAGGGGAGGGAGAGGTAGAGAGGTTTACAGTGGGAATTCCGTAGGCTAGAGCTCAGATAGCTAAAAGTACAGTCACAAACAGCAGAACAATTAATGTTAGTGAGATAACTCCATCAAGTCACCCTTTACTTACATGTGCATAGTACATGACACTGACCGAGCTAGATCAGAGCTGACTCCTAGAGTGAGGTGAACCTCTGACACTCCTGTTTATATCTGTCAGCCAGGGCTCCCTGATTGCACCAGATTAACAGCCCCCAATCAGGGAACTCACATTCTATGGGGTCCACCTGACTGACCAAGTTCCAATCACTACAGTTGGAGATGCACAAGAGACCAGAATTGGTAAACCAAGCATGGGTTCTCTAAGTTAATATCAATGATTATGTTGAACTTGGGTTGTTGAATTTTGATTTAGAGATATGTACACTTCCATAAAAAACTCACACAAACTTAATGATGATGCTACTTGCATTTGTACATGCAAACAAGAAGCGAGAGTAGCTCACCCAGCCCTTCCATCTTACTCCATCATTCAATAAAATCATGGCTGATCTGATTTTAACCTCAACACTATATCCCTGCGTATCCCTCAATAGTCTTTTATGCCCTGGGAACCTAGGGAGTTGGCTTGACCTCGTGCAATAAGGGAGATGCTGTTGTATTCTGCATTCAAATGGACAGTTTGATTGAACTGATACATCTTAAGAGTTTCTTTCTCTTGTCTGTTTTCAGGACACATATCCATCGATGGGTTTAAGAAGTACTTGAGTGGCGATGAGAATGGAGTCATTCCACCGGAGAAGTTGGATCTGAATGAAGATATGACTCAACCCTTGTCACACTATTTCATCAACTCATCACATAACACCTACCTCACAGGTAAGAAATCGACAATCCCTGAGGAGACCTCGGCTTTTCCTAACTCTGGGATGAATGGGGCATCAGAATGACCTTCAGAATCCTTGCACTCATTACTAATCCCCTACACCCACCCTTTAGCTCCTCATGAACGCACGGATCCAAGGTTATTAAGGGTTGAAAGTCCTCCAATAATTCATCATGTGGCAGTGATAGAATCCCTACAGTGTGAAAGCAGACCATTCAGCCCATGGAGTCCACACTGATCCTCTGATGAGCAATCCACCCAGACCCACACTCTTACCCTGTCCTTATATCCAAGCAGTTCTCATGGCTGACCACCTGGCCTGCACAACCCTGGACAATATGGGGCAATTTAGCTCTGCCAATCCACCTGACCTGCATGTTGGACTGTGGGAGGAAACCAGAGCACCTGGAGCAAACCCATGCAGACACGGGGAGAATGTGCAAACTCCACACAGACAGTCGCCCGAGGGTGGAATCGAACCCGGGTTCCTTGCGCTGTGAGGAACCTGTGCTAACCATTCCACCGTGTTGCCCCATCATCGGGGCAGACTATCTTGGGGGAAATCGTCAACTAAGTTGGATGAATTAAGGACACTATACTTGCCAGTATGAATTGCCCGATAGTCATGGACAGGCATCAGAAGAAACCTTTCTCCCAAACCAGGATCTTGGGAAGACGATTTATTATAGTGCTGTGACGCTGTTCACATTGTATTTGGTCCGTGGCTTGACTTTAGCATATCTTAAAGCACAAAGTTACTGAAGCACCTTCACTGGAACTACAAAGATTCTGGACACACCCTTCTCAGGCCTGGCCTTAGCCTAGCTACTGCTGAAACCATGATCCATTGATGTAGATACTTCTAAATCAGAATTTAAAAACTAAGTTTGACATTACCACTGGAGCAAATATGTACCATTGTCCTTAGCAATTAAATAATGCCACCTTGATGTTAACTCTGAAAATCCATATTCAGTTCACCATTCTGGTCTCTTGTACATCCTCAGTGTTAATTGTTTGTCAACTCTGGGCTCTATTACACCAGTACAGCCCTTGGCCATTCTCCAGCTTTAAATAACTCCCAGTAATTCCACAGAATTGGCACCTTGCCATATTGCCTGTCTTCCAATCAATTTATTTGTCATCTTGTTACAGTGTCTAATTAAATGCAAAAATCATATGTATAGATAATCACTTAGTTTTGATTTTCAGAATGATGAAATTCTAAGACAGTGATTCATGGAATAGGGGAGGAGATACTGTTGGAGAAACATTATCTGAGCAGTAATCCGAAAGCCCAGGGAATACAGGTTCAAATGCCACCATGGCATACAGTGAAATCTGCATTCAATAAAAATCTGGAATTTTATTAGAATCGACCATAATGGTGACAGTTCAACTATTGTTAATTGTTGCAAAAACCCCATCTGGTTCGCTAATTTCATTCAGGGAAGGAAATCTGCCGTCCTTACCTGATCTGGCCTGCTTGTGACTCCAGACCCATAGCAATGTGGTCGACTCCTAATCAACTTCTGGCCAATTAGGGATCAGCTTAATTAGCTAGTGACACCCACATCCCACAAACGAATAACGGAACGTCTAAAATAAAACAAAGAACTGCAGGCATTGGAGATCAGAAACAGAAACGGAAATAGCTAGAGAAATTCAGTAGATCTGGCAGCATCTGTGGAGAGAAAGCAGAGTCAGTGTTTCAAGATAATGTTTCCAGTTCTGAAGAGGGGTCTTTAGACTTGAAATCATCAACCCTGCCTTCTCTCTCCACAGATGCTGCCAGACCTGCTAAATCAGAAATCTCTAAACTTTTACTTGAAGCCAAACAATTTCCTGTACCACAGGTGATTCCCACAAAGTTCACTTCCAGTCCTGGAAATCGTTCCCAAGCAACCAGAGAGCAAATTAGTGGGATCGCTGTTAATTGCCACAATCGTCACTAAATACAACATTATCTTACTTGACATTTCAAAGCGTTAGATAATGGATTACAAACTGAGGATTTGACAGGGCTGAAGCTGGATTTGGCTTCGCTGGCCAGGGTATCTACAACTGGGAGCCATAACCTCAGGGATAAGAGGTTGGCTGTTTAGGACTGAGATGAGGAAATATTTCTTCCTTCAGTGGGCACTGAATATTTATAATTCTCCACCCTGGAAAGCTAGATGCTCAGTCACTGAGTACATTCCAGTGTGAGATGAATAAATCATTGGTTATTAAGGAAGCAAAGGAAATGTGGAAAGGTAGAAAAATGAAGTTTATATAAAAGCTCAGCCTCAGTCTTATTAAATAGAGCAAATGTGGCCAATCGTCACTGCTATTTTTTAAATGTTCCATTGCTAATGTATATTTACAGTGATTACTCATGTCCTCTGACCCCATCTCCCGTCTCAAACTATAAATCAATTTACATAGGCTTTGGGCCGAGTGCGGGAAAGTGGCTGTGGTCTAGGTAGTTATACATTTTTGATAGTACAGACGTGATGGGCTGAAGGCCCACTTCTGTTCTGCCCGATTCTGTGATTCTGCACTTCAGTGAAATCTTCATCGTATTGTGGCTGGAAGTGATACCAAATATTGCAAGCACAGTTTGTCCTCGTTTGTCACAGAAACTAACTGATCATTTCTGTCTTGTGTTCTCACAGCCGGGCAGCTTGCTGGAAACTCTTCCGTGGAGATGTACCGTCAGGTCCTACTGGCGGGGTGTCGGTGTGTGGAGCTGGACTGCTGGAAGGGCCGGTCAACAGAGGAGGAGCCGGTCATCACTCACGGATTTACCATGACAACCGAAATATGTTTCAAGGTATCAATATCCTAAGCTACACACGCTTACGAGAGCTGGTCAGAGGCTAGGAATACTGCAGGGAGTAACTCACCTCCTGACTCCCCAAAGCCTGCCCACCATCTACAAGTCACAAGTCACAAGTCAGGAGTGTGATGGATTACTCCCCACTCGCCTGGATGAGTGCAGCCCCAACAACACTCAAGAAGCTCGATACCATCCAGGACAAAGCAACCCACTTGAATAGCATCCTGTCCATAAACATTCACTTCCTCCACCACCGAAGCTCAGTAGCGGCAGTGTGTACTATCTGCAAGATGCACTGCAGAAATTCACCAAAGATCCTTAGAGAGCACCTCACAACCACTTCCATCTAAAAGGACAAGGGCAGCAGATACATGGGCACACCACCACCTTCAAGTTCCCCTCCAAGCCACTCACCATCCTGACTTGGAAATATATCGCCGTTCCTTCACTGTCATTAGGTTAAAATCCTGGAAATCTCTCCCTAAGGGCATTTTGTGTCAACCTACAGCAGGAGGACTGCAGCGGTTCGAGAAGGCAGCTTACCACCACCTTCTCAAGGGGCAGCTAGGGACGGATAATAAATATTGGCCCAGCCAGAGATGCTTACACCCCACCAGTGAATTACAAAAGGGATTTTTTCTTTAAGCGTGAACCAACACTGCTGTGTTGACTACTTCCTTGTGGTATTAAAAGTTGCTCAATTTAGCAGATCCTAATGATGTTATTGGCTGAAAGGCAACTGAAGACACGACTTGATTAATTATTAGGCTTCACGGTTGCTGTTTTGAAAGTTTTGCTCATTGAAAATCTTGATAATTTTTTGATCTCACATCAACACCATGACTTGAATACACTGCACCTGTTTCTCTTATCGCACAATCCAAATTCGACCTACAGAGTCACATCTCCAGATAAAAATATCAGTCCAAATCTTCTGAGAGCGCCCACAGTTCTACCCTGCATCGGACTCCTCACTTCTGGGGTTGGCATCAGATGGTAGAGACTTCAGCATTGTGCAGTCTATCTTAAATCCAGCAAAATCCTGTTTGTATGGGTACAATCAGGGACAGGCCAAGCTGTGCCCCCTCTTTTTTAACAGCACAACTTGCAGTATTCTAGCGGCTACGTTCAGGGGCTGTCAAACATTTAAGCAGCTTTTCCATGTGTTATTAAATGAATGTGAAGCTGGCAATATGGGGATCTGGGGGACCGGTGAAGTAAAGGGACATGTTGGTAAGGAGGGAAGGTGAGGTTAAGGGATAGAGTACCAGGGAGGCAACATAAGCTGACGAACTACTCTTGACCCCAACTCTTTCTCATCTCAGAAGTAAATGGACAGTTTAAACAACAGTTTAGTATCTTCAAAACCTCTCCACCACTTTGAGAGGCTGAAGTCTCTCTCCTGTAAGGTTCCTGAAGCTGAAGAAAGCTGGTTGTTTCCTTCCATCAGTTGTTGTGAGCTGTTGCTTTTAACCAAGAAATCGGAGGCTTTATCATTCGTGAACCTGTCGCTCTGTGCCTCCTGTGGAGAAGGCAAGCTCAGAGAACTAAAGGACTTGGGAAACAAAAGAAAGCTTTCCAATTTAATCCCAAGGACTGGCACCATTGAACTGTCTCTTAGAGCCATACAACATGGAAACAGACCCTTCGGTCCAACCAGTCCATGCCGACCATAATCCCAAACTAAACTAGTCCCACCTGCCTGCTCCTGGCCCATATCCCTCCAAACCTTTCCTATTCACATATACAAATGTCTTTTAAACATTGTAAGTTTCTTCTGTATAATTTTCTCTCCATCCTAAACACCAATTTTTTTTTTGTGTCTCTGTACGTGTGTAGGTGTGTTTTAGCACATAGGTAGAATTTTAACTACAAAATTAAGAGTAGACAGTTCATTTTTTTTAACCTTCAATTAGACTCAATCTATTTGTAATAAATAGTAATTTGTGTTAAATACAGAAACCTGGTCCTTGTTTTCTATTAACCTACGTTTATTAGGTAAATAAATTGGGAAGTTGAGTCCTTTTGTAAATTTTTGTAATAAGCCAGGGAATATTGGAACTTGATTTCTAGTGCGCTACCCTAGTGAGGTGTAACAAATGAAAACATAAAATTATGAAAATACTTAATAAGTTAGAGCAGCATCTGTGGAAAGAGAAACAGAATTAACATTTCAGCTCTGTGATCTCTCGTCGGAAATGCGAACATTTCAGGATGTAATGAACTTCTGAATGAGGGTTGAGCTGGACATACATGAAGGAAGGTCTGAGACGGGGTGGAAGACAGGAGAGATTGAGTGGCAGAAATGTTGTCTCCCAAAGACGCAAAGGGAATGGAGTTGAGGCAAGAGAAGAAACTAAACATGTGCCTAGTGCAGGCTGAATGAGAAATAAATTGAAACAAGGGAACTAAATGGGGACAGAGTTTATGGTCTGAAATTATTGAGCTCGGTGTTGATTTCAGAAGGCTGCAATGTGCCTAGGCATGAGAGTAAGGCCGAGAATTAAACTAATATGGCACTCAAAGCTTGCAAACAGACTGGGGGTGTTCTGAAAACTGTGCTTGGACTTTCCAATATAGAGAAAAGCAGATTGTGAGCAGCAAATACAGTATAATAAATTGCTCACTGCTTTGCCTGAAAGGAGTGTTTGAGGCTTTATACACTAAAGAGAAAGGAAATGAAAGGACAAGTTTTAGATCTGAGATAGCAAGAACTACAGATGCTGGAGTCAGAGATAACAAAGTGTAGAGCTGGATGAACACAGCAGGCCAGGCAGCATCAGAGGAGCAGGAAAGCTGACGTTTCGGTTCGGGACCCTCCTTCAGAAAATTCAGGTTTTAGATCTCTTGCTTTTACGTGGAAAGGAGTGGTAGGAAAGGGATGGAGTGTTGGGATTGACTGAGGACTCATCCACGGTATCACAGAGAGAACAGTCTCTTCAGAAAATGCTGCAAGGGGAGAGGAGGAGAGGACATTGAAGATGGTGCTAATGGTGGGAAACTGATCTATTGATAAGGAAGCTGACGACAGCAGAGGTGTCAAGCTGAGGACAAGGGGAACGTAGCCGCGGTTCTGGAAGGGAAGGGAAGGGAAGGATTGACGGTGACAGGGCTCTGTTAACCTTAGTGGCCAGCGGCAGGAGGAAAGAGGGGATTCCCTCGACTGAGGATTCAGAAAACAGTCTCTTGAAAATGCTGCTGTTAAAGGTTTCATCCTTTGAACAGATGCGATGGAGATGGAGGAAAAGGAGAATTGAATGGAGTCCTTACAGGCAGTCGAGTGTGAGGATGTGAAGTCAAGGGATCTGTCTGAATTGGTGGGCTTTTAAGTTATTGATAGCCTATTGCCAGAAATGGAGATAGAGATGTCAACAACAGGAAAGGAAGAGTTGGAGATGGACCATGTGAAACTTACAGAAGAGTGAAAATTGGAAGCAAAACTGTGTGTTAATTTGTTTTTCCTACTTCCTTGAATCTTTGCTGGAAGAATATTTCCCTACACATTGCTGGTGCATAGCTGAATTGAATAGGTTTGTTGTGTGCTCATTGTATTTTAGTCTGTTTCAGATTGTAGTCTGTTTCCTTTCCCCATGACTTTCAGTCAGTCTCATTCAAAGTTAGGCTCCAGACCAAAGTTTGCAGGGAATAATGGCACAGCTTTGTTCCTCGCCATTTTCAAAGCGAGGTACGTTAGTAAAGTTAGGAATTGGATTTTGGTCACCTGAACAGCTACGTTTTCATGTCAAGCAGCAACAACATTTGGAGTTGCCATGATTTGTGGAGCTTTCTTAAGATATCCATGTCACCTTGCACTGAGTTAAGGAGTTCAGGGAACGGTGGACAGCATGGGTTATTTGTATTGTGAAATTTAGATTTAGTTTCTTTTTTTCCCATTCCTTTTGCAGGAAGTAATTGAAGCTATCGCTGAGTGTGCTTTTAAGACCTCTCCTTATCCTGTGATCCTCTCATTCGAAAACCATGTTGATTCGTAAGTGTTTACAAAAGTATTCAGCGATGATGTATTGTGGCAATTATTATGCTGACACAAGGGAGAGAAGCAAAGCAAGTGATGAAAGCACAATAGGCTAACGTCGAAGGCATCATCAGACTATATGTCAAACATTCATATTTAGACGACCCCCTTCCCCCTTTATGAAAGGACAGGTGCAGCAACAAGAATGTGCTTTTATGTAGCGCCTACAATCTAGCAAACATCCCTTTCAAACCCCTTCGATATAAGTGTGCTATAGCCCACGTTTAAACAGCAGTGAGAGCAATGTTGAATGCACTTGTCACTATCAGAGGATTGTTTAAAAAGCGAACGCTGTTCATATTTTAAAATAAAAGGCTTTTCCGTGAATGTTTGACTTTATCGGGGTGGGGCAGATCAGAAACAGGCAGTTTGACTCTGTAAAGGGTAAGTACTCACTGGTGAGGAAGTTCAAGGCAGTGTAGCTTTTATAGTTAAATTTCTTACCGTGAGACCAGAGTTATACAGAGATGACGGGTCACAGTCATAGAGTCATGCAGCACAGAAACAGACCCTTCGGTTCAACTCGTCCACGCTGACCATATTCCCAAGCTAAACTAGTCCCACCTGCCTGTGTTTGGCCCATATCCCTTCAAACCTTTCCTATTCATGCGTCTATTCAAATGTCTTTTAAATGCTGCAACTGTACCTGCATCCAACGCTTCCTCTGGCAGTTCATTCCACACATGAACCACTCTCTGTGTAAAAAAGTTGCCCTTCATGTCCTTTTTAAAACTTTCTCCTCTCACCTTAAAAATATGTCTGCCAGTTTTGAACTCCCCCACCCTAGGGAGAAGCCATTCACCTTATCTATGCCCCTCATGATTTCATAAAGCTCTATAAGGTCACTCCTCAACCTCCTATGCTCCAGCTTGTAATCTGATATCAAAATGGCTTCCTCTACTTCCCTCTCAAGGCAATAGGAACCTCACTGGCTCTGTAGGAAGTAGAGATGGTATTCAGCTATTTTTAATTACTACTGGGTTTATATCTCGGAAAAAGCAGAGAGGTTCCAGGATAACTGAGGAAAGAAAACTGAACGAGGAGATCTTGCAGCAAGCACTTTGCCTCTTGTGTGCGATCGTTAGAAACCGCCAACAAGGACAGAAACTGAGTAAGGACAGGATGCTTGCTCTGTCAGGAAATTATGCACATTGCAAATACACGAGTGTTGTTTCTGACAATTTATCGTTGTGTTTCTAAAGTCCGAAACAACAGGCTAAAATGGCAGAATACTGCAGGTCGATATTTGGAGATGCTTTACTGATGGAAGACCTGGAAAAATACCCGGTGAGTGTGTGATCCCTTATCAGTAATGACCCACATTTCATAAAATCTGGAATTTTCAATGCTCTGGGTAGGCCATGGCACATTTATGTGTTTAGTTCTGGTCTCCACGCTCGAGGAAGAAAGTTGGAACTTGACAGAGCACAGGAAAATTTGCTGAAATGGGAAAAGAAAGATTTTAAGTCTACGTTTAGGATGAAGGGTTTTGAAGTTGTTTGCCTTGGAGTAAAGGAGACTGAGGGAAGGTTTGAGGTTGGTGTATGAGATTTTTGCAGATTTAGATAAGGCAGAAAATTGTACAACAAAGATTTAAGGTTTTAATGGAGTCGGGAGGGTTGGGGAAGAACACTTTTTAGATCGCAAGTGACCTTTGCAGTGACCTTCCCAATCCACCAAGTGTCAAGCCCCATTAATTGGCCAATTAACAACTGTTTAAGAGCCTCTTCACTTCAGCAGAATGTTTAACTCTGTTCCCAGCGGCTTGCCCAATCAGGAAAGCAGAACGGCCTGTCTTAGAGCTGGGTTTCTCCAATCAGGGGGTCAGAGGTTAGTCGCTGAAAGCAAACCCTTTGCATCCGACACACCCCGTTCTTGCCCATGACCACTTCCCCTGCCCCAAAGTTATTTATATCCTTGGCCTGTGTTTGCGCAATAGCTTCAGGCAGGACAGGACATCACTGTCCCAGGAAATGACACACTAAAAAGACCTCTGGATGGCCACTTAAGTGCCTGACTGATGCAAAATCTAGATGGCTTTCCCATTGGTGGTAATGGGGAAGATCATGTTAGCCACCACACTTATTTTTTAAATTGGAAAATCCTCCCATATTTTTGGTGATTTTTGATCAAGTCTGGGGAATGTTATAGACTAATTGTCTTCAAACAAGTGTAGAGCAAGATGGTGATCTGATTTTTGATTTGATTTGATTTGATTTATTGCAGTCACATGTACCTAAGTACAGTGAATAGCTTTGTTTTGCGAGCAGCACAGGCAGATCATAGCAAACAAGGACATACAGATCGTAGAGTGCTTGGACAGAGCCAGGCATACAAGTTACACTGCACAGGAGGTGCATAAAGCAAGATCAACATTATTTGAAATCCGAGAGGTCCATTCAGCAGCCTGATAATGTCAGGGAAGAAGCTGTTCTTGAACCTGTTGGTGCGTGTGTTCAAGCTTCTGTACCTTCAGCCTGATGGGAGAGGGTGAAAGAGAACATTACCAGGGTGGGAGGGGCCTTTGATGATGTTGGCTGCCTTTCCTCAGCAAAGAGAAGTGTAAATGGAGTCCATGGATGGAAGGTTGGCTTCCGTGATGGTCTGGGCTATGCACACCACTTTCTGTAGTTTCTTACGGTCCTGGTCAGAGCAGTTGCCATACCAGGCTGTTATGCACCTGGACAGTATGCTATCAATGGCGCATTTGTAGAAGTTGGTGAGGGGCCTTCAGGACATGCCAGCCTCCTGAGGAAGACAAGGCGTTGTTGTTCCTTGTTGACCATCACATCCATGTGAGAAGCCCAGGACAGGTTGTCGGTTATCGTCACTCCGAGGAACTTGACGCTCTCCACCCTCTCAACCTCTGTTCTGGTGATGTAGATGGGGGGGGCGTGTCCTCCTCCTTTCTTCCTGAAGCCAATGATCAGTTGTTTAGTTTTTTCCGAAATTGAAAGAGAGGTTGTTGTCATTGCATCACAACGTGAAGCCCTCTATCTCCTTCCTATATTCTGACTCATCGTTGTTAGACATCCGTCCTACCACGGTGGTGCCATCAACAAACTTATAGATGGCATTCATTTGGAATTTGACAACACAATCGTGGGTGTGCAGGGGGTACAGTAGGGGGCTGAGGATGCATCCTTGGGGGGCTCCAGTGTTGAGTGTTATTGTAGAGGAGGTGCAGTTACCTATCCTCACTGATTGCAGTCTGTGGATCAGAAAGCTGAGGATCCAGTTGCAGAGGGTGGAGCCGAGACCGAGCTATCTCAGTTTGAGATCAGTCTGGAGGGGATAATGGTGTTGAAGGCGGAGCTGTAGTCATAAAAGCCTGATTGGAAAATGGGGAGATATGTGCAGAAGGTCTATCAATGCTGTTCTGAATTGCAGGAGCTTGTTAAGATGGCTTATAAAAATTTAAAATGAAGAAAATCATAACGTCAGGATGAATTAAAAATTCCTGCCTATTTGTGCAAATGAAATAGGCTAACTACATCTTAAATTTATATAGAGCAACTCGAATACCATTGTTTTCGTTTAGTATGCACACCAAAAGATTTAATTCTAAATTAAATTGGTGCAGTGCATTCGCTTATTTTTAAATTTTCATCTACATCTGCAAAAGAAATCGCAAACCATGATATAGTCCTGTATTATTCTGAAAGAGCTCAAAATAAATAGAACAGGAATCAGTTGTATGTGTAAGTTGACCAGAAGGGTGACATTCGGAGCTCACTAGCGTGAGATATTGTACAAAATTGGTCTAACCAGGAACAAACATAGAGAAAGTGCTGGAGAAACTCAACAGATCTGATAGCATCTGTGGAGACAGAAACAGTGTGAATGATTTAAGTCTCATATGACTCATCTTCAGAACTGAAGTTTCTCCAGCATTCTCTGGACTTATTTCAGATTTCCAACATCTTGATGACTGATTGATTGATTTACTGTTGTCACATACACTGAGATACAGTGGAAAGTGTTGTTTTGCATGCGATACAGGCAGATCATACCATACAAAGTGCATCAGGAATAGCAGAGCAGAGTGCAGAACACGGTGGTACAGCCGCAGAGAAGGTGCAGAGAGAGAGAGAACGGTATTAACATTTGGGAATGGGTCTCAGCTGTTTCCTATCCAGGAAGCACTTCGAGCTAGATTTAAGACAAAGAGTTCTAAGCTTTGTAAGCCTGAAGTGTGATTATTTCAAATATCTGAGAACCAAAAGACATAACACAGTCACAACGTGATGCAACGCTCAACTGAATGTCACCATTTCACTTGAGAAAGTTCTCCCACCTGCTGCTTCAATGCAAATTGTTTTTACAAAATTTTCCTTTTTATCTTAGCTCGAGGCTGGAGTGCCCCTTCCAAGCCCCCACGACATGATGGGCAAAATTCTCATCAAGAACAAGAAGAAAGGACACAAACCGTCTGATGGAAGTGCCAAGAAAAAGCTCAGTGAGCAGGCGTCAAACACACACAGTGACTCCTCAAGTGTCTTCGAGCCCTCATCTCCAGGAGCAGGTACGCTGACTCTCAGCTCACAGTTTGTTGTGCCGGGTGTGTCTGCACTTCTTGATCGGGATAGGGATGTATTAGCATCAGCAGGGTTGCAAAACAAGCGTGGGTTAAGGATGTCGCTCACTCCTGCTTCGCTCAGCCACACGAATCAGGTAACCCAGTGCCACGTCGTTAGTCAAAAATTTGGAAATGGGAATCACTGCAGCAAAGGAGTGGGGAGAGATAGACTGACGGTGCTCGATAAAATATGGGATGGGCTGTTGGGAATTGACAGAAATCGGTATCCGATGCCCATTGGCAGTGACAATAGACAAAATAGCCATCCACACTAACTACAAGACAGTGTATCAACATTCCTTCTTCCCAGGGACAGCCCCACAATGGAACAAGGTACAAGGGAAGAGTCAAAACCCCATCACCTGAAATCTGCACTTTACATCAGTTCCATTTAAGAGTTTGCGTCATCAGGGCTACCATGTCAGCAGGTCATGTCTGGGTTGCCAGGATACAGGCATTAATCTGTGATGCCAACCTGACTGGAGCAGAAACTGAAACCTTACAGAAAAGGCTATTTTTTCCTTGGTGTCTGTTTCAGCTCATTCCTGCCTCAAAGTCACTTACGCGATTAATCGCTTATTTTGAGAAGGCATATTTGACTCTAGTGCTAAGTTTACCTTTCGCAAATTTAAACCAGGTCCCCTGTCAATTCCTCATGCCTCTCTTTGCCGTGAAGTGGGCAATGGGTATCTCAAAGCTGAATATCAATGTATGTTTCCATAGTTCAGTTTTACATTCTGACTGGACCTCGTGATAACCCTGTGGTTGAAGTCAACCCTGCAGCAAAATACAAATGTCGCAATGTGTTAGTGCTTTCATTGTTAATGTAGCTCGCATCAACAGACGTCTCCATGTCTGGGAGGGGAACAGATCAGGAAGGGGGCAGGAGGTCAGGATTGGTGGAAAACCAGAGATGTCTCTGGATACCTACATGTGCATATTGGACACTGGTGAAAACTATTTCATAGAAGTAGGCCTTTCAGCCCATCAAATCCACATTGACCCTCTGAAGAACATCCCACCCAGACCCACCCCATCCCTGTATGGCTAATCCACCTAACCTGCACATCTTTGGACTGTGGGAAGAAACCGGAGCACCCGGAGGAAACCCACGCAGATCCAGGGCACTCCACACAGACAGTCGCCTGAGGCTGGAATCAAACCCGGGTCCCTGGTGCTGTGAGGCAGCAGTGCTAACCACTGAGCCACCATGCTGCCCCAATTTGACTGCACTTTTTGACTATTTGGCTACTGAGATTCATTAAACTATAGTCAAGAATTTTAACATAAACTGAAGTGCACAGTAAGCCTGATTTCATGAAGAAACTTCTGCAGACTGTTTCAATTTGAGTCAGAAAAAAATATATGGTGGAAAAGTGAAATATGAATGCAAGAAAGTCTCTATATTGAAAGAGAGAAATGGACGTATTTAAAAACACTATCTTATATATTACATGAAGTAAATGGATGTAGCAAATGAAAATTTTTCTTGAGACGATGATGAAATCACAGATGGACTATGCATGCTGCTCAACTTAAGATTTGAAAGATGGTTTTGGTAATTTGATAAATCCTGTTTCTTCGGTCAGCTGTCACTCACCATCAATTAAACCAAGTCGGACGCATTGTCAGCGATGCATCAAAAACTAGCAAAATGCCAAACGTTGCACTGACACAACAACTCAGTTACACTGGTAGGCATCCAGGATATTTTTAGAGGGGCTAATGTTGTGTATCTGTTCCCTTTTGTGGATTTGCAGTTAACCTGTCCAACTTTGCAGCAAGTTGGAAAGAAAAAATGCCGACGATCACAGTAGGTCAGGCAGCATCTGTGAAGAGAAAGCAAGCTAACATTATCGAGTCTGCATGACTCTTCAACAGAAAGTTGCTTTGTTCTGATGCATTGGCCTCTTGGGGGTTTCAAGCTTTTTTTATAGCTTCTTTTTTAAAAACAAAACATGGCCTCCCCCACTGTGTTCAAATTGCCACCATTAACAGCCACTTCTATCGATGAGGCATTTTGTGATGGATGCAGCTGCTGGCAGAATAGTAAATGGAGAACGGAAGTGAACAATCCTGCATTGGAATTGGCTGGGAAATGTTAGCGATCAGGTCAATGCGTTGGATTATTAAACCTTAAGAAACTGGAGTGAGTCAGGGGTTGAATTGAATTAGCTTTATTGTCACATGTACTCACATGAGTACAGTGAAAAGTTTATAAGTTGCCGCATTGTGGTGCCATCTTAGGTACTAAGGTACCTGGATACAGATCCTTACACACAAATTATTTACGGTGTAACAATGTCACCAATACACACTACTATCAGAGTATCTAGGTACAATCTTTAGTTACAGAGTAGAGAAATGAAGAAGAGGTTACATTACAGCTATACACTGTATGGTCAGATAAAACAAGATGCCTAATTAAAGAGACAAACATCACAGTCTCTCTCCAAAGGCTGTCTGCGGCAGACCAGCGCAAGGGGACTTCCACACAATCTGACCACTGGCTGGCACCTCGCTGGGCTGCTGGGTCACTGGCGTCCACACTCCAGTCGCTGGCATCTCCGCTCTGGGTGCGTTTATCTCATGGTACATCCCAGTTCAACTCCCACACCAAGCGAGCCTTGTGCGATCAGAATGGTTAGCGTGACTTTCAGGTGAGGTTTTCTTGCGGAGAACACAGGTGGTTGAATCGAATCAGCTGCTACTTTCGAGGAATGAGGGGCCCAGTTGATGTTATACCTTGCGGAACTGTTATCAATATGATGCTGTGACTTCACTGCAGCAGAACGTGTTCGACAATGAGTTGGTCATGGTCGATCGCTCTGTCTCTACCCCCACACTGCGAAGACTGGAGTTTTCCACACCTGAGCTCAGGTCACTTCTGCTCTCTCCCCTTTTGGAAATCGTGTTGTGTTCTTCACGGACACAACCCTTCAGTCTACGTCGTGTAAGTGACCCAGTAACTTGCCGTACTCTTGGAGACTCATTTGTCCTTCCCACTGACCTCTTGGGGCTCAACATTTCAGGAGCAAAAGAAAGATGCAAACTCAGTGCCAGGAAACATTTAATTAGAGGCAATGGCTGAAGTTATTTTGTTACCAGGAAACCTGCTGGTGTCCAATAATGCTGTGTGTTTTTCTGACCCGTGATAATGGTTTGTTAATAAGGTACAAATCTGGATGAAATGCCTTTAACAATTCAGGGTCGTTCTTCTCAATGAAATGAACCCATTAGAGTGCATCTCTTTGCATAATGGATGGATTGGCTGTTTACAAAGTGACAATGGTTAATAATTTCTAAAACTGCCTGGAAATGAACAGATGGTGCATATTAAGAAGTGGCACTGTCACCAGCAACAACAGCAGCAGTACATTATATCATAGGAACCACTGGTTTTGAGAAACATTTTCAAAATGCCACCTAACAGGCAGTAAATAAAACCGCAGAAGATTATGCTGCAGTATTTAAACCTTCGATGCCTGTTCTGCCTCTCTGCTGTAACCAACCTAATCTCACTCTCCAATCAGCCCTCTGTCTTCCCTGTTTGAACAAGACACCATCCTGTACCTCATCTCTGATGCATGGTAAGTAGCTCCAATCAGCGCAAAGTCATTTCTCCTCCTCCCTCAGAGTTTTTGTGATCAAGTTGACTCCCAGTCATCGTCTCTACAAACTAAGGAGGACGGTCTCTCCCTGCTGAAATTGATCAAGTGCTCTCTGAGCAACCTAACCCGAATCAAACCAAAGCTGGCAGTTGCTGAGGATAAGTGCCTCACAGGATTAAATCGAATTGCTGCCACCGCAAAGGATCGATGTGGAATGCTAGTCAGCAAACAGCGAGCAGAAATCCCCCTCTTGGCAGAGGTGATCATTAAGGTGGGTTTGGAATACGTCACCTCCCCTGGGGAATGGCTGAGAGGCAAGAAGGGCCATATAAAAAGGCGCAGGGAGTGGTACGACCAATACTCACTCAACTCAATCCACATGGATAAGGAGAACCACCAATTCGACTGGGACAACACCAAAATCCTGGGACAACACCAAAATCCTGGGACAAGCTAAGCAGAGACAGGCATGGGAATTCCTAGAAGCCTGGCACTCCACAAAGAAAGCCATTAATAAACACATAGAACTCGACCCCATATACACTCTAATACGAAGGAAAACTGGAAGTGAGATAATCCAGCTCAATGGACCCCAGAGTTTAAAAACCAGGCGGGAAAACACACCGATGCTTCATCGGAAGCTGCACTGATGATGTCACCCAGCACGGTAATGAAACGTCTGCGGAACAACAAACCAGCTCGGCGAGCCAACCAACCTCAACACCCACAACCCGAGCTACAGATCTACTCCAAAACCTTAGTAGTGTCACTGTTGTCTCACTGTTGTCATCCCATCTTATCAGCGATTGACCCTCCACCTGAAGAAGAGTTGAGCCACAAAAGTGGCCTCCAGGAAGTCTTCCTGCCAATCATGGCTTGTCTACCTGACTGCTTTCAAAGTGGCTGGCATGACCCCTTTCCCTCACCAAAACCCACCTCCCATCTATCTCTCCCAATTCCACCAGGCTCTGTCTGACCAGCCCTCACAGCCCAGAGCCCCGTTTACCCTGTTGTGAGGTTGCCATCCATCCAGGTGCAGTTCCAGCCATGGCCACTGGACGCCGGTGGTGCCACAGAGCTGTTGGCTCTCTGGTTGGCCAGGCACTCCCAAGGCCAGGCGGTCGTCCAGCAGCAGTTTGCTGACCCTGGGTCCTAGAGACTGCCTCGGCAGGGTTGGCTTCCATCAACCCCGTCTTGGCAAACCCTGCTTTTGGGCCTGTTGAGATGCCCATCTCAACGTCTTGAATCAGACCTGTTACCTGAGTTAGGCCTGACTGGGGTTAAATTCCAACCTTAAAATGCGAACGGTATTGTTCTTACGGATATTTTTAAATA